TTTTTACAAAAATTTAAAAAAATTAATAATTTATGGGGACCAATTTGCAATTTTTTAAAAATTTTGGGACCACATTTGCAATTAATTGTTTAGCTTTTATTTAAATCGGAGGGTATATTTGTCATTTCATAGTTTTTATTGAGAAATTGGAAAATTTGGATAGAAATGATGATTTGCGTAATCAAATGTATAATTAAGAGTAAAAGTGCTAAAAAAAATAGAAGGTATGAACTTTTTTTGCAATAATAGTGATAGGTAAGGACATTATACGCTAATAAGCTAATTACCCTTTTAATAATTTATTTAAAACTTATTTGCATTTTTTAAAAAAATTGGGACTAGGATTGCAATTAATTTTTTTCTTTTTCCTTTTGTTTTATTTAAATAGAAGGATATATTCGTCATTTTACAATTTTTAATTCAGAAAATAAATGAAAATGATCTTTTGCGCAATAAAATGTGAAAATAAGAGTGAAAATGTAAAAAAAATGAAAGGTTTAGACGTTTTCCACAATAACAGTGAAATGTGCCGACGTTATGTGCTAATTGCCCAAAATTATATATATACTTGACTCAATTAGGAGGTCTTCGTAAAATATGACTTTAATGTTACTTGTTTCGGTTTGAAATTGACATCTCCTTGGACCTCATCTATAATTTTTTTAGTGCATAAAGAAATTCTTGTGAAGTGTTCTCGTGTTTTAAGAGAAAATTATGCAATACGATTGTTGCTGGGAGTGAGTTAGCGCGAGATAGGCTCAAGTATAGCACTATCATCTTTAACTTATTTTTTTGTCATTTTCGACAACATTTTCAATAATTTGCTCGTCACTCTACAATTTTGAAGTTGCCTCATTTTCTCTTGGATAGTTCGAAAGGTACTCAACATCCATCATGAATATGAAATTTCTGAACTTCATCATCAGAGTGTTGATCCAAATTCTTTAAATCCACGCTACCCATAGGTAAAATTCGTATAATCACAATTTAATTTTTTGGAAAAAAATAATAATAATAATAAAGGATACTATTTTTAGTTATAAGTGAAATCAGAATTTCGAATATAGATAAAGACCGGATGCACGCCGATAGAACCCTCCAATAAATCTATTTGAATTGGCTCTGTATCAGTTGAATCTCATCATCCATACATAACGAATTGGTGTGATATATTCAAGCCGAGTAGATCTTCTCTACTTAGAGCTTGTTCGATCCCCATTTTGTAGTCAAAAATGAATTTTGGAATAGTGATTTGATGAAGAATGTATGGTTAACAAATAAGAAATAAAATTGAATTTGAGTGTTATATTATTTTATTAAAGAATGTGGTTAAAAATAAATTTTGAAAATAATATAAACCAAACATTATGAAATGAGAAGTCACATTGTAAATATCAGATCGAATCGACCTACAGAGAATCTCGTAACTTTTTAGGCAGGCCAGCTCAGTCCAACCGGAGTAAGAGTGAGGCCACTGTTATGGGATCCTAAAGGCATGCTTTCTCTATACCTCTAAATATAATACGTATCGCGCGAGATCCAATCATTTATTTGATACTCGAAATAGTATATCAAGATTCTGAAAGAAACAATGGAAAAAGCTGACGAGAATTTTATACCTTTCCTTATCTAAGATAAAGTTGTTGAATCCATGGCTTCTTACACTTGCACAAGTGGAGAATTTTCTGTTCCATCTTTATGGAATTTCCTAAAGTTGAAAGTGTCGGCGGTGTCAAACTTGTGTCAATGTACATATAAATCGTTGAGCATAAACAAAGGAAAGAATATTTTAAACAAAATATAACTAAGACATGGATGATGGAGTAGATATTGACTAAGTCATTTTTGGTTAATGGACCTATAATACATGCATGTAACTTCTTTTATGTGCAGCATATAACTAAACATCCAACTAATTTGATCTATCCAAGGCCTCCTCTGGATGCCACCTTAAGATGTGTGGCCTGTTTTTTGGGTATTGAAGTCTTAGGGTCCATTTGATTCAAAGATGGAATTTGGATGAAAAGAAAACAAATTGTAAGGAATTGAATTGCCTAAAATTTGCTTTACTGAAAATTGTCAATTAATTGCGTTTGATTGATATAATTTTTCACCTGGATAATGTTGAAATTTTCTATCTTTTGGTGTTCGTTTGGCTTTGTTTTTATGAAAATTGTCAATTAAAGGGATATAATTTCTTGCAATTGGGGATATAATTTGTTTGGATTGCAAAAAAAAAAAAATTTGAAAAATTTTTGGCGTTCATTTGGTTTTGTTTTACATGGAAATTATCAATTAAATGGATAATTTTTTATTTTATTTTTTACAATTGAGAATAGAATTTGTTTCTATTGCAAAAAAAAAAAAAGATGGAATTTCAATTCTCACCTAAAAGGTGGGAATTTTAATTCAAGTAAATCCAAGAAAATTAGCAAAGGTGGAAAACTAATTCCAAGGAAAAAAAAAGTGTCATCAAACATGGCAAAAGTAAGAAATGAAATTTTAATTCCAACTTTCATGAAAAATAAGGGCCTATCAAACAGTCCTTTAGTATAATTTAAAGATTCATATGCGTTCGAGGTGATGATAGAAATTGATTTTTTCGACATTAATGAAATATTTTCTTGTAATGCATGTAGTCCTTATGAAATTGAGAACGCACTTTTTATGTGCAATGCAATTGAAACAATTGCATATTGTTTCGTATTATTTTATTTAACATATTTGTTTCTTCTTGAGAATATAAATAAATTTCATGTTCAACTCTAGTTAAGGGGTTGTTTGACAAAGTTTTCTTTATAAAAGTTTTTGCATATTTCGATAAAAATTGATGAAATGAGTTGTTGAAAAGTTAATTAAAATTGTTAATTTCTTGAAATGTGCAGTTAAAATTAAAGTTTGATCAATTAAAAAGTTGATTATAAAATTTTAAAAGCACTAATTTTTTTTACATGACGATGGTTTTGAGATGTATTAGAGTTTAGACTAGCAACTTGAATAAATTCATAAATATAAATATCCTTTTTAGGGTTTCTTAGTGTAAAGAGAATGAAACTCAAAGAGAGATAACGAGCTATATAAATTTAAAAGTTACAAGGATTGTACGACCCATATAACTAAGTGGAAATTACTCAAAACCTTACTTTTCAATATTCCATTTCGAAAATCAGATCTCAAGTTTCATCTTTCCAAAATTAGATATTTCATTTTTAAATATTAAATATCAATTATACAATTTTTATCACAAACCCTAATCAATTTACCTCCTACTTCCCTCGTCTCTGTCTTCTCTCTCTCTACAAACGACCCCTCTCTCTCTCTACAAACGAGCTCAACCCAAGCGAAGGCGACGAGAGCTACGCCGGTCATAGAGCAACAGTGACGAGCGTCGCTCAGCCGCTGTGCGACGATGAAAGGGAGCACCGCTACGTGCAGTGAAACCAAGTGAGAACGTCGTGCCGCCGCATGTGAGATCACCGCTGGTTCAACCCCTCCGCCTCTTGCTCCTTTTGTTGATTCAACCCCTCCGCCCATAGTTGTTGTCGTGCGATTTGGCCGAGAGATGTGAGCGATTTGGCCGATCGGTGGATCTAGGTGGCGGTGGCTATGGTGCGGTGCAGATAATGGTGTGGTGGTCGGCGTTTGTTTGTGGTGGTGGTGATTTGGGGCTTTTGTGGTGGCTTGTAGTTGCGAATCTTGCGTTTTCGGTGCTGTGGGTGCGATTGCGGTGCTGCGGATGCCGTGGTGGGCGGTGGTGTGTGTTTGTACGACTGTGGCTGTGCGATGGTGGGCGGTGGTTGGGTATGGGTTTCTGGCGGTGGTGGAGGAGGTTATTGGTGCCTGAAGATTTGATAGAGTTGATTATCGTGGTTTTTGTTAGCAATTGACTGGATCTAGTGGTGGCTATTTGTTGGTGGTGGTGCTGTTGTTATGGTGGCGGCGATGAGCGGGTGAGGATGGTCACAATGGTGGTCACAAAAGTTGGTGGTGGTCACAATGGTGGTCAAAGAAGTAGGTGGTGGTCACGGGGTGGTGCTGTTGGTCTTGGCGACAACGATGGTGATGGTCACGGGAGTGGTCACAGAAGTTAAAGAGAATGAAACTCAGAGAGATAACGAGCTATATAAATTTAGAAGTTAAAAGGACTGTACGACCCATATAACTAAACTACCAAAAGGTACTCTAATATATCGAATAGGTACCAAATGACTTGAAATCAACCTTGGTCGTCCTTTATTCATAAAAATTGGGATGTTGACTAAGAAATAGGTGGTTGTTACTGAGTTGTCACGACTTCGACCTTGTTCCATATCTTCCAATATGTTTTCTTTAGATTTTTTGCCATCTCACCATCGTTTTAGTTAAAAGACAAGGTTGTTGAAATGAGCCTAAAAGTATAGTCGTGTCAAGTCATTTGTCGATTATGCTTTCTCGCTCTCTTAAAACAATGATCCTCCCCAAATGCTGGCATCAATGAGTAGTTTGCTTGAGGCCACCATTCCCTCGAGTGTGGGATGTAGCCGAGAGAGAGAGAGAGAGTCTTGTCTGAATTTTGATGAGAAAATGATTATGGTATGCACGTAAAGTGTGTGTAGAAGTTAAATTTATCAAAACAAATACAGTCCTAAAAGCACTGCGAGTAACATAATTAATTTCATTTAATTAGGACACACAATACAATACTCTTTAACTAGGCAAATGAGAGCTTGACACAGCTTAAGGTACATACTTATGCTAATTGAAGCCACTAATTACACAGACATAGAACTACATAAACTACTTCAATCTATAGCTCTTTATAGTTATAGAGCCAGGCTTATTCTTCTAATATTATAGTCGTTGACGAAATTGTTAGGCAATTTCCCAACGTCGAGTTATAGTTGAACAATACTTTCTCCATTAGATTTAAGACAGACCCTAATATTATACTCGTTGACGTCAAAAATTGTTGGACAACTTTCCGTCAATATCGAGTAGTAGACAATATTTGTATAGTAGATTTAATTAGAAGTCCGATATGGCTGCAGCAGTGGAATCAGGGAACCACTTAGGTGGAGGGACATTACTTCATTGGTGGATCCAACGAGTGTTCCAGCGATGAAAACCGCCGGGACGGGGCCGTTGAATCCCATTCTCGAGAGAGCCTTTTCGATTTCCTTTCCTTCTGGATCACGATCAATTTCATGAACATGAGGGAGCACCCCAAGGTCTTGAAATAGTATATGAACGGCATAGGACAAGCAGCATGAAGTTTTGCTAAAGATCACCACACCATTCTCGGATGATATTTTTTGTACCTTGTCCATGTCTTGATACCTGGGATTCTGCTAAATGGAGAAACAAATACCCTTTTAATGATGAGCGAATAAACAAAGAACTATTTGTTCAAGAATTTGTATTTGCAAGGGGTATGAAACTGAGTGGGCAAGCAAGAAACTGTATTGAGAACCTTGCTTGATTGAGTTCTGAGGCTGCTCTATTTATAAAATGAGAGAAAGTGGACCACTTTTTTGAACAAAAAAGGTTGAAACACCTAGCTAAAAAATTAAGGGTGGTTCTCTTTGTATTTCAATTTTATGTTTTGAATTTTGAATTTATTTTGGATTTTGTGTTTTGAGTGTTCACTTTAAGATTATTGAAAATTTGTTCTTTTTGACATTTTGAAAACACATAAAACTCATTTTGAAAATTTTGGCTTAATTATAATTGAACACACACAAAACGACAAATTTTTCGTTTTTGGTTTTCTTTGTAAATTTTTAACTTGTTTTCAAAAATGTGTTTTAGAAAATAGGAAAAAAAATGCGTTTTCACTGTTTTGAAAAATCGAAAACAGAAAATGACTTGAAAATGGTGAAGAGAACATACCCTAAGCTATTAGAAAGAAGGTACATCATCACATGCTGGTCAGATTCATTTTTCCATTACATGAAGAAAATCTTCATAAATTGTTGACTCTGGGGGCCATATTTAATTGAGATTCTTAAAGACCGTTTGAAATTTAAAAAGTTTAGAGGTATTCAATGTAGATTTTTGAGACTCTATAAAATTATTGATGTATTCAATAGTTTTAAAAGTCGTGACGTATTCAATTAAAACTTTTTATCCCCCTATTTGGTGGCCATAATTTTCAAAAAACAATGTTTTGAATAATGATTTTTAAGAGAATGTGTAGTTAAAATATATGGAAATATTTTGAATTTACGTGTAGAATATTTTTTTTGTGCGAATATATGATTGAAAATAAGCACGTAAAAATAAGAGTTTGAAAATAATGATTGTCAAGTAAGGAATAAAAGTCTTTACAAGTGTTGGTGTATTCAAAATGTTAATAACAGAAAGTAGAAGAATAGATCTTAAAATTTATCTCTCATTCACTCCAAGATTTTTGGAGACTTTCAATAAATAAACTTTTAATATATATTTTGTTCTTTTAATATTTTTCTTTTCTCTTGTCGATTATATTTGTTTATATTTTCCTTTTCTCTCTCTTTTATTTTCTCTCCCTTTTCTATAAAAGAAATATATATTTTTTATTTATTTCAATTTTTTTTTTATAAAAAAGATCAATTTGTAATTAAATTTTCTAAGATTTATATATATATATAAAGACTAATTTATAATTAAACTTTAAATATATTGCTTGGGTGTTTACCTTTTAAAGGTATGGCATATTAATAATATTGAATGTTCAAAATTTTCATTTTTTTCAAAAAATACTGAAATTTATAAATATATTTTTTGTATTTTGATTATTTATTTGTTTAATTAAGGTGAATTAAATTTTGTATTCTTTTTTTAAAAAAAATTATTACACGAGGGGAAAATGGGATGTAGGATTAAACGTCCACCTCCTATATGAGAATTTCCACTATTGCACTATATCCATGTGAATTTTATTCTAAATGAATGTATTCAGAAGTCTTATGAATTTCTTAAAAATCTATAGAAGTTTTAAATGAAAATCTATAGAAATTTACGAAAAACTTTCGTTAACTTTAAACTTGTAGGATTATGTGGAGCCTAATTAATATATTGAACTATCCACTCGAAAGATTAATTTAGGAGCCAATTTTGAGTGGACAAAGATAGAAAGGTTTGTAAAAATTCTTTGTAATCTCCTTCATCATACTGAAAATTTGTGGTGGCAAGTGAACATAGTATTCACATCAGTATATTGTTTGCTCCTTTTTTTTAATATCATTTTCCGTTTATTATTACTCTCTCAGTTAGAGATTAATTCTTAATCCATGAGAGAAATCAAGAGTTTTTTAATATTTGTTAAGAATTGGAGTTTCATCTTAAAATATCAACCTTATTAAAAGGAGTAAAACAAACCATTATAAATTGGTCTATGTTTACATTTTTATTCGATTTGGGATTCTATCCCTTAACATACCCTCGCAAGATGGTGGCTCGTTTTGAACAAACCAATCTTGAAATCAGTATGCTCACTTTTTGGAGTTTTAATCGGATCAAATTACTCGTTAGAGTTTAATGGGCTCTGATATCATGTTAAGAATTGGAGTTCCATCTTAAAAGATCAACCTTATTAAGAGGAGTAACTCAAACCTTTATAAATTGGTCTGAAATCTTTATTCCATGTAGGATTCTATCCCTTAACAATATAAGATTCCATATAGAATCCGTCTTTTTTAAAAACTTAAACTTTTTGACATTCAAAAGAAGGTCGGCTTTACTCAGATTCCAAAAACATCTAAAGTTATTTTTAAAGCTAGATACCATAAATTTTGTTCGAGACACAAATCGAAGATACAGGTATCTCCTCTCTTTTGAATAAATCTTTAGATTTTTCTGACCGTCTGATATGCTAATTCTCGTATTATTGTCAGGATCTTTATTGAGGGTCAATCATGTTTCAGGTGATTCTTCATACACGTTGCAGGATACTTGACCACACAGATTTCCATGTTATTGAAATTCCTGTAAAAACTCATCAAAAGCAGAAATCAGTTTTTGTCAGTTCTGGTTTATTCGTAAAAATTCATGGCAGTTTGGAGGATTTTCGTTAGAATTAGGGGGAAAAATCCCTGTAAAAGATTTTTAAGATGTTCAAAGCACAATATCTTGCATCAATTTGTTGAGGCAAAGAAAGAAATCTTGGATTCATAACAGCCATTTCTTGTTAATAGTAACGACAAGATTGTAGCTTCCTTTGCTGCTGCAAAATAATAGCTCGATCAGTCCTGATCAATTGTAGAAGAAAGGGGTATTGATCGGCGACTGAGCAAGTTATGATATTTAAATTAAAAGGAGAGTTTTTATGAAATGAAAGACTCGAGAGCGAGCGTGTGTATTTTTTTGTGTAGAGCACACAATAAAACATTCTCTAATACTGTCCATTTTCATCAATCAACCTATCAGACATGTCATCATATTGTTACATGAAGGTGTTGAGCCGATAATTACATCAACTGTAGACAATAATGTTCTGAGTAGAGTTTGGACGAAAAAAGATATTTCTTATGATCATTTGAGTATTTTTGGTTGCAATTCATGTTCCAAAAGACGAAAGGTTCAATTTTGATGGAAAAACAATGAGGCTACGATTACGATTACGGAGAATTTGAGTACGCTAAGAGGAGAGAGAGAGAGAGAGAGAGAGAGACAACATTTTTTTCACTTTCCAACAGGATTGAGCAAAAATTGCATCAGGTTTTTTTTATTAGTTCTCAATCTTTGATCTACTCTTCTTCATCACCCATGTAAAAGTATGAATCATGATTCTCTATTATCATGAAAATTCGGTTGTGGATCATTTTAACAGTATCTTTTCTCTTGAGTTGTTGGACCACCTAGGGAATCCAAGAAGGTGGCAAAAGTGAGGTGAATCCTTGCCCCTAGCTTGAGGGATGTAGCGATAAGTACACTAGCTACACCGCATTAATCGTGCCCTCTGATGCAGTGAGAAAGCGAAACATTGAAAATACACGTATCAAAAGAAAGTGTGGTCCACTTATGCATTTTAAGTGAAACCCGATTTTTTGGTTAGGCGATGGACCTAATGTTCCACTGCAATCGTGCCCTATGATATTGTGAGAGAGTAAAACAATGAAAACACGCGTATCTAAAGAAAGTGTGGTTCGCACGTGCGTTTTAAGTGAAACTTCGTTTCTTGTTTTGGAACCAGGCTTTTATAACAGAGACCATTAAGATGTTGACACGTGAATTTGTGTATTATATAACTCTACACCTTATTTTACAATTTCTTGAGTATTACTAGAGAAATATACATCTACTTCATAGATGGATACGGATGTTTATCCTTAGTCGAGTTGCTTGAGTGGCATTTTAAGCTCAAAGGAAGTTTTGAGTATCCTTTAAGTTGTTCTAAACTTGATGGTTCTAGCTTTGATTGATCACTGGTCATACAAAATAGAAATCGATCTTACAAATTCATCTTACGGCACTTCGACGGCGAAAGGTTGCAAATTTGGTCGTCGAAATTGTAAAAAGATTGATATTCTGAATCTTTCCAAAAGTTATAGAGATAGATTAAAATAATTTACACAATACAATATATAACTATATGGCTTGGCTTGTCTTGTCTTGAATTCTTTCAATAACATTATACAATACTTCGTATGAATTAGAGCTCTGATCAAAATTGAGATTAGTCCCAGAATTCGGCCTTGAGGCCCTTGACCTTGCCAGCCCGACAATTTTCAAAACCCGACCCCTATTGTATCGCAGGCCCAACAGAAATACCCAAGAGGAAACTCTGAACAATGGTAGCCCAGTTTTAGTGGATTGGACGAACTCTTTTGTTAACCTTCCGGCCGGTTTACCAACAATTTTAAAGGGAAAAATTCAAAATTACGAGCTTAATTCAAATTTAAGACATCAAGTTTAAAATTTCAAATCTCAAATTTTTTTTAATTATATTTATAAATTTATTAATTAAATATATTAAGGTCCCAATTCCATATAATTTGATCACAAATTCCATATAATTGGTTACAAATTACAATTTTTATATGTCGTAAATTATTTTACGGTCACAATTAAAAACATTTACAAGTCACAATAAGTTCATCGGTCACAAATCAAAAATTTATACGTCGCAATTTATTCATCGGTCACAAATCACAAATTTTATATGTCACAAATTATTTTTCGGTCACAATTCAAAATTTTCATAGGTCATAAAGTGTTTATAAGTTACAGTTCATTTATCGGTCACAAATTATAAATTTTATCTATCACAACTTATTTAAAGGTCACAAATTGTCAAATTAATTAGTCACAAGTTATTTCGCAGTCACAACTTAATAATGTGAGTTAC